CTCTAATTTACACAGCACATGCAGCACCGGAGGGAGTTGCAGCATCACACAACAGCATCTTTAAGTGGTTCAGCACAGAGGAAATTCTTCTTGCCCATAATCTTCTGCCAGAAAGTATGTTTTGTCCTTTAACTGCTGAGTTACTGGTGCTGCACCTAGAACGTCATGCATCGTTGTGTGCACCAGCACTTTGTTTTATGCATCAGAAGATATTAGGGAGTAGATACAGGCTCACTTCAGCCCTGGATGTTGTCTCAGCTGAGGGTGTTTTATGGATTCCGGACAGGGGTAAGTGCAGTATGGAGCATCACACAGGACTTAATCTAATGCTCAGCAAAGCCAAAGGAAGGATTCCATCATAGTATTAGCCCAATCCAACTCCTCACTGAAGTCAAGTAATGAGTGTTTCAGTACTGCAGGCCTATGCTTACTGCTATGCTTACTATTAAACTCTCTCCGCGCAAACTAAACAGTATCAGACCCTCTTGGTCTTCAGCCATTCCACCCATCCTGTCCCTGGGGGGAGCAGGAAAGCCACAGCAGCGTGACCAGCACAGCACCTGCAGTGATGGTCGGTCCCAGGCTGCAGCGGCTCTGCTCAGGGGCTCCGCTGGGCACGACAGCTGGGTTGAGGAACCCAGCCCCGCACGCTTACCACCCCTTCCCCAAGGCCAGGTCGGCCTGCTCTTTCTGAAAAGCCTTCCTAAAAAGCCCTGCACAATCACAGCAGAGTTTGGTGCAGTTTGTGGGAAGGGCAGGGATCGCGAAACAGGAGGGAAGCCCCCCCGGGCTGAGCTGGCTCAGGCTCCCCTGCACCTCTGATCCCCAAATAACCGTGTATGAGCTACAAACGGAGCTGCGAGATGGGAACCATCAGGCACGACAACCCAAGCTGGCGTCACGCAGGCAACAACAGGGGAAAAGCTTCACCATCGCCAACCTCCAGGACCAGCCATCTCTCCCTGGCTTAATACCTTTAGCAAAGCTTCAATTCAATCAGTGCAACAATATGTGATGTTTACCCTAAAATCATTAATGCACCATCCTGCCTAAAGGGTTTCATTACCATGGGTAGGTCCCATTAAGAGGGCGGGGAGATCACAGCAACTTCTATATCAAACATGCTAGTCCAGGGTCCGTGTTCCCTATACATGCCCCCTATATAGGGGCGCAGCCAGCTCTGCCATCGGACCGGCAATCTCTGTACGGGGCTAGGCACAAAGGTCCTAATGTTATCGTCTACAGTGGGAAGCTCACAAACGCTTTAATGAACGGCAGAACTGGGCAAAGCTCAGTGGTTCCAGTTCCTGGGGGGGGGTCATTCTCCGAGCCCTGGGTTTGATCAAAGCCACATGAGTGGGGAAGGGGGAAATCAGTCGGCACCACGGGGTTCCACCAGGTTTCAATGGGAAGCCATAAAACCAGCCCCAGGTTTCTCAGGGCTCAGCCCACTACAAACCCTTCCCCAATGAATGGAGAATTTTTAAACAATACCATGGCTGAGTTTCAAATCCACCCAAACCCAGGTGCTGATGAACCGACCGGATCCGAACCGCAGGGGGAGCAGGTAATTGGAAGGGCCGTTTCCCCCACGCTCGTGGAAAGGTCCTGGATTTGAGCCCTGACCTTGTTGCTAGGAGAATTAAGGCATTTTCATGCAATTTTGGAGGTTTCCGCTTGTACTGCAATGTCAGTTTCTCATGGAAAATGAAGACTGGAATGAAAAGAAAACGTGTGTGTAGGAGGGGGAAGTTATTCTATTAATAACAAAAAAGTATTTACTTATACCTTCAAATTTGCCAACAGAGCCTAAGACGGAGACAGGAGGTGGAGGAATAATAAGGTGCAACTTCAGGCCAACCTCAGGGCTAATTTGAAGTAAACAAGGTGCATGAGATAAAATAACTTCATTCTGGAAAAGGAAGAGCTAAATAATTTGATAACACGAAATTACAGTAACATTTACAAGTACCTTGAGATAAATCAGGATAAGGACCTCACTTCCCCAAACAGAGCATTCCTGTACGTGCTAAGACACATCAGAGACAGACAAATGATTTTCAAATACTTACAAGATGATTTTACAGTGTCTGTTATAATCCCCAATAGAATAAATCACTCGCACACGTTACCTACACGATGGAGAGCTGGACCCATGGTAATCTATTGGGGGGAAAAGCGATTTATAAGGGTTTTCAATAATTTTTAAGTGTCACCTTGTTTTCACCAGGTGCCCATCACTTAAGGTCTAATCATGTCCCTATTTAAATGACAGCA